TAAAGTAATTAGATATAAAAGTCCTATTAAATATAATATATCTCAAACTATAAGTTTATAAGATAAGTATAAAAAGTCTTAGTATTTAACTAGTACTATAATCTAGTCTAAAGGCACCTATTATTCTTTATACCTAATTTAATAGAAATAAAAAGTACTTATATTTTAACTCGAAAAATAATTAGGACTTTTATATAGACTTAAGGCAGTGGTTTATTCTATAAAGAGAAAATAGACTAGAAATACCTATACTATATTAATTTTTGGAGAAAGTTATAGTAAATACTATAATTCCTAGAATACTTTTAAGAAAGCTCTTCTAAACTAAAATAGGCTAGTTTATAATTCCGAAAGATTTATAGAAGTCTTATATATCCGAGAATATAAGTACTTAAGGTAAATACTATTTAAGTTCTAATTTATAATAAAAGAAAAGTAAAATATATAAAACAAAATATATAAAGCAAAAATAAAATAAAATATCCGGGTATTTAATAAATAGAAAGCCTAATTATAGGTTATAAGAACTAGTACTAACTAGGTATATATATAGTAATATTAAAGGAAAGATAAGGTAAGAGAAACTAAAAAATAAGTTAGTATATATTTTATAAAAGTAAATAGGGAAATATTTAAATAGCCCAAAGGCAAGGAATATATATTAAAGAAGTCGAGATTAGAGGAAAAAAGGCTATTTCCTATAAAAATAAGTTAGTATATATTCTAAGACAAAGAATAGAGATACTTAGTAGTAGCTTAAAGGCTTTTATAAGTATTAAAGGAAAAGAGGAGATATTAAAGTTCAGAGAGATCTAAATAGGAATTAGCCTCTTTTTTAGAAGTTTAAGAGAAGGTATTTTCAAAGGGCCTAAAGATATAAGAGATATTAGAAAAAGGAAAAAGGAAATATTAGAGAAAGAAAGGAGGGATCTAAAATTTAGCTTTCTAAGAAGTAAGTGAATTAAAGACTTATAGTATAGGAGTTCTAGATAAAAGTAACCCGGAAGTAGTAGTTAGATACCAGCTTTTAGTATTATTAGTAGAAGTATTAAAGGAAGAGGAATTTAGAGGAGGGGTTTAGAGGAATTTAGAAAAGGAGAGGAAAGTTATAAGGCAGTTAGATACTAGCTCTTAGTATTAATAGAAGAAGTATTAAAGGAAAAGGGATTCGGAAAAGGAATTCGGAAAAGAAATAAGAAGGAAGGGTAAAGAAAAGTAAGGAGAAGGAAAGAAAGGTTATAAAATAGTTAAATACTAGCTCTTAGTATTAATAAAAATATTAATAAAGGTATTAATAAAGTTATTAATAAAAAAGGTATTAGTAGAGGATAAAAGCTCTTAGTATTAATAGTAAAATCAAAAAAATATAAAAGAAAAATAGAGGTTTTAGAATAAAAATAAAATAAAGTTATAGTTTTATAGAAAATAAAGTTACTAATATAGAATAGTTATATTATTATATAATTCTATATTTACTTTTACTATTTATTAAGGATATATATTTCTTAGAAAAAAGTATTACTTAGAATTCTTGAGCCTTTCTAATTTAATAATTATATATTTGAAAAATAAGAAATAAATATAATTATATATATTAGAATAAGGGAATTCTTCTTATTTAAAAATTATAATTATAGTATTACTAAATATAGAAATATAGAAGTTTATATAATAAGCTATATATAGAGATTTAAGGAGATTTAAATTATCTTAAATTATTTATAATTAGTAAAATAAATTAGCTAATTATATAAGTTAAGTATAATTTAATTATTATTAGTATGCCTTAGCTTTTATAAATTAGTAAGAGAAAAAATATTTATATCTTTATCTTTATAACTATAATATCTAAAATTATAATTTTTTTAATATTTAAATATATTTAATCTAGGGCTATTAAGTACTAATATTTCTATTTTTAGGTATTATTTATTATAAATTTATTTAGATTTAAATAATTATATTAAATATATATCTTTATATCCTAAAAATAAATAATAAAGATATAGTTATACTAGCTTTAACCTTAGCCTTAACTTTAATCTTAATCTCCTTTTAAAAATAACTTCGATTCTAATATATAATACTATTATTAAAGCTTTTCTTTATTAAAGATATATTAAATATGGCTTTAGGTAATAGTTCTAGTAAAAGCAAAAGCAATAGAAAAGGCAATAAAGCTATAAATAAGTAAAAAGATAATATTTATAATATACCTTTTAATAATCCAGATTTAGTCTATAATATTCTCTCCCGTTAATATATTTAACTAATAAACTTCTCTGCTCCTTAACCTCCTTTTTATATATAATCTCCTCTTCTTCTTCTGTAATAATACTTTAATCTCCTTATATTATCTAATAATACTACTAAAATAGTAAAGCGAATTAATAATAAGGCTAAAGTTAGAAAGATAGAGCTATACTAGGGCAAGAAGCTAAAGAAATTAGAGAAAGGCAAGGCAAATCTGGAGATAAGCTTAATATATACTTGCAGAACCAAATCCTCTCAAGCTTATATTACTTATAGTAATAAAAAAAGACCGAGGAGCCCTTTTAAATACTATATAGTTATAGAAGGCGAATTTAATAGTACTTATACAAATTACAGATATAATAATAATAGTAAAATCTATACTTTTTATTAACTTAATACTAATCCTACTAAGTCTGGAAAGCCTTGCTCCGTATCTGCAAAATCCTTTATACTAAAGCCTTGACTGCCTATAAGATATAGAAAGCGAGTATAAAGACAGATATAAGGTTAGAAGGCAATAGGGAAGGAGATTATAGTAGAGGAGGGTAAGGATACTAGAGGAGAAGGGAATAAAGAAGATATAGATAATTCGAGTAATATAGGCAGTACGGAGGATATAGAGAGTAAGGGAGATGGAGATGTGCCTCGTAATCCATGGGATTTGCCTTACGGACCATGCAAGCTAAGGGGGGGTTAGGAGTAGTCGAGAATAAGGCATATATGTTATACTTTTTTTTTTTTTAGTAAGGTGTGGGGGGGGGTGGGCGCGAAAATCAGAAAATCACTTTTCGCTTCTCGGATTTGTCCGCTAGCCCGCTAATGGCCTCAGTAGTTGCGGCAATTCAACATGGTACTTCATCTAGTCAGGTAAGTCCGTCCAACAAGTTCATTCTTGTTGGAACTGAGTGTACGCTGGTACACTGTAGTTTATATACCAGATGTATATATAGAGTGCTTACCCCGCGTGAGCTGAAAAATCAAGTCGTCAACCTCCAAAACATTGCAACAATTCTATGTGTATTGCTAATTAGATTTGAACTCAGCCACACTACCGAAGTATCAGCTCTCATCGACACACTGATAAACCTACCGACAAACCCACCATCACTTTACATCGACCTCAAAGGCGTCTTAGACACCTTTGCCGCCACTGCTCAGTCTCAATTCTCCAACCAGACATCCATCCAACATGCACCACTTACCCCTTCAACATCCACTCCCTTAACTCCGAAGCCTTCTCCGCACGTAGCATCAACAGCCAAACACTCAAATCCATCTTCGAGTCTCCAAATATCCTAAAGATTTTCTTCGCCGTCCGAAATGATCCAGATGCTCACCTCTCCCATTTCTGTGACGATAAAGGCCTATGCTACCCTAGTCACGTATATCATCACGTAGCCTCGCATTGGTTCGTTTACCTTAAGCTGTAACTCTTGTGTGATATCAAGTTAGAACATTTGTTGAGTTTTCAACGTTTTGAGTAACCTCTTGAATAAAAGCTTGTAAGAGATCTACGGGGTGACGTGATATCGTCCTTCAGCAAAGCTCGATCAACGGTTAGACCTCTTGGAAGTCCAAATATCCCTATCTGCAAAGTTGAGACCTATGTGGCTGTGTGTCTGTAGAAGGAATAGGTTGGAGCCTTGATGATAAATTTGGCCTATATTTAGCAGGCGATCAGCGTCAATAAAGCAAGGTCCTCTACCTTAGAATACAACCAACTCCTGGCCAATAAAGCGCTCCCCTAATGAACCTCAAGGGACCTCTCTGTAGACAAATCTGAATCAGAGTTGGTGGATGACTTGTTGCGGTTGTTCTCTACACTTTATCTCAATGTCCTAAGGATTAGTCGGACGATGGACTTCTAGTTCGTTACAAGTGTTGTTGTGCAGCTTGCAATCAGTGTGCCTCCTCTCCATTGGCATATTTGTGCGGCTATAACGGAGCGTAGCGATATTGCAAGCCAGTCTCTCCGCGACCAATGGCAGCTGCTCGTCCTCCATCCGCTATCAAAGCTAGACGGCAACGGCTGTCATTGCTCGTACGTTCTTATAGTTGATGCGCTCGATGAATGTGACGACGATAATAATATCCGGGCTATTCTACAACTCTTGGCTGAAGCTCGATCATTACAAAGAGTCCGGTTACGAGTCTTTTTAACGAGCAGACCTGAGATCCCAATCCGATATGGGTTCGATCAGACACCAGATGCAGAGTACCAGGATCTCGTCCTCCACAGTATATCACCGTCGATTATAGACCACGATATCTCCATATTCCTGGAGTATAACTTGAGACTCATTGGACAGGAACGCTTTCTGGATGTTGCCTGGACAGTCGAAGCGACCATCAGATGTTTGGTTCAGATTGCAAGTGGGCTGTTCATTTGGGCTGCGATTCACTTAAAAGGCTTAAATCACATGTCCCATACCTCGAGCAGAGTAGGAATGCTAACTCAACATTAAGCGAGCCGCATATGCCTACAATTGCCGAATATTTTTCTACAATTGTTGAACTAATACGCGGAGAGCGAGGAGATGTATCATATCACTCTACTAAAGTAGAAGCACAAGGTCTATCAAATCGGTGTAGCCAGATTCGAGGACGGGGAGGGGCTAGACGATCCCCGTGGTTGTAGAGTTTTAGATACAGAAATTTTGTAATTCCAATATTTTCATTCTAACATTAGGTGGTTATCATAAATGAGCCCAACGAATGAACACCTTCTTGTTCGTACAGAGATATAGAGCAATTGCAAGAGCACAAATGAGGAGGATAGACTAATTCATACTTAGAACACCAAAGAAATTCTTCAAAAAGTTCGAGAGTATCTTTGTCCCTTAAGCAAGGCCAAGCACCGGACCAAGCTGTTCCCTTTTCAGAGGAATGACACCTTGAAATATTCCATCACCTGTACTATAATGAGCTGACAAGATATCGCTTCGTTGAGGAGTTTACAAGAGCATTTCCACGCGACCACTTTCATCCGTCTCGATTAGATAAGTTCCACTTCGTTCGTAGGTGAGGGTAATGTATGCAACAGCATGAAAAGCTTGTCCTTTTTGATATGCCAGGATGAGTGTACCATTGAGACTTTCTCTGGCAACGAATAGATCCTTGAATTGTATATTGGCGGGACATATAGCCCAGCCAATGTACATGTAGCGTCCTGCTGGCGTCCGAGTTTGTTCGATCTGGATCCAGGAAGCAGTTACCAATCTTGATTTGACGAGTGTTCTCTTGGGATACCTTCAAGTACAGCTCGGACTCGTCCAAGCAACGGTGCGAAAGCCATATTTTCCGCTTTCTTGTCTCCCATTTCGCTCATGTCTAAGTCAAGAATGAGACTACCTAGGTCGCTTTCCTCAGGCTTGCCAATCACCGCGAGTGAGAACTCGGAAAGGAACTCGGAAAGGAACTCGGGGATGTTTGTTAGACTGGTGACTGCTTTGATCTTGCTGCTGTCCAGCTTTCGAAGTGTTTCAACTCTTCTGCTCAATAGGGTTGTGTCCAGGCTTTGCATGATGCTGGCACGGAGGTGGACCGCAGTATCAGCTCGACCATTTAAAATAGGAGCGCAGTGGAGATATGTCCTACTCGTCGCGTTGCAAAGCTGGTGCTCAGATGCGTACTTCAGGAATTGAACATCGACGTCTAAGGACCGAATGTTGACATGGAAGTTATAAATTTTGATTCCTCGTTGTCGCAGAACCTTCAAGACCTTTTGTAGAGCAACGGCAACTGGGTTGTCTTTTTGATATTCGTATCGGATATTGCACATCGAGGCCCAGCAGCAAATTTTGTCTGCTTGGAATCTCGCGTCTCTCTCGCTGATCCCGAACGAGTTGAGCATAATACTTAATCTTGCATAGAATTTTTCATCTTCAGTAATGCGTGAAGAGTCCCCTGACTTCTTTCTCCCGGGTCGTAGGCTACATCCCACAAGGGTCCCACCGTGTGGTAACTGCGTGGCTGTGAATTCCCAATCCTTTCTTTGATGGGGTCGAATTCCAAGTCCTAGTCTAGACGATACGGGCCTGACGAAGCCGGATGCTTGAGGTGACTGCGTTGAGGAGATCATAACACGAAAGCGATCTGTTATCTTGCTGCTTTAGCGACCTCGATGTCCAGAAGTTGTCGGATTAGAGAGCGATTTTTGGATATGCGCAGACCTAGCATGTGATCTGCACCTTCAACGCTGGGTGATATTATTTGCTCGGTCGCGAGCTTTTGGTCAATTTCCTCTGACGACAAGAGGTAATCAACATACGGGAAGAGCCGCTTGACGGTTTCAAATCTCCTTTGAACTTGTCCACGAGAAAATCCGAATTTGATATTGGAGTATTGCCCATTTTGAAGCTTGAAGTTTGCGAGCATAAACGCTGCAGAGAATATGGAGGATTTCAGGTAGCGGAGAGGAGCCATGTCAAAGGTTGTTGATTCCTCCCAGGTAATCTCGACATCTTGTGCAAGTGACCACTCTTGAAAAGTCCAAGCTCGTTCCCAATAAACCCATTGATGGAGCTTCTCTTTAAACACCAGCAACTGATGGAAGAAAGCAGCACACCAATGCTCGAGCTTTGTCTTGTAGGCTACAACTTCTTCCGTGTTGTTTCGAAAATTGCCGTAATGTTTTTTTTTGTTTTTTTTGTGTTCCATTAGTCTTTTTAGCTGCCTAAGGCGCTATAGAGACGCACTATATAGGATTAGGCTACAGAGGTGGTCACGAGTCCTCGACTCCGCTCCAGAGCTAATAAAGCAAAAAGGAAATCGAAACATTACATAAAATCAAAAATCAGAATACCTCCCACTTTATATAACCTTGCCCCTTACCCTCCCTTCCGTTTCTATATGGTTTGTTATAATATAATAGCCCCCAGAGGGGCTTAGTTAGCCTAGTAAAGTATAATTATTGCCTTAATTAGCCTCGTCCCCTATTCTAATAGTAAAAGTATCTTTATATAACTTGTAAACTAATCCAGGAAACTAGTAGCAAGTATGAATTTAATAGTTTTGGATATAAGCTCGGTATTTCTCAGGAAAAGCCTAGTATCTCTAATAATACTCTTTTCTAAATATATAAAACGAGTATTTTCAAGATACTTATAGTCTTTAATAATATAATATACTATTTAGTAGACCTAATTATAGCCGTATTATAGATCTTCTATATAATTAATAGTATTAAAATATCCGTAAAGCCCGATTTTCTCTATTCGTATCTGAATTAAAATAGAGGCCTTGGCTTTATAAAAGAGATTTTTATAAAGGTTATTAATATAGTAGTTTAGTATTATATTATTACTTTATTATTATTTTTTATATAATATACTAGTAATACTATTTCTTTATTTCTAATTCTAGGCTTCTCTTATAAAGTTATTAATTAATCTCTTATAAGAAAAAAGGAATTAAGGAAGCTATTTTATTCCGAAAACGTGACTTGAGTTAATTACTAATATTCCGGAAACTACTTTAGTATCCTTTAGCTTAGGCTTTTATCTAATAGCTTACTTTACTAAAGATCTATAATCTTATTTCTAGGTACTCTAATATATACTAGGATTTATCTAATTATAATCTTATAGCTTTTTTACTAAAGAATATTTATAAAATTATAGATTTTAATAAGAATAATCTGATCTAACTAGTTCTATAGTCTAGTAAATAAAATAATAAATACTTAATTATTAGTAAAAATAATAAGCTTTTTTATAATATTTCCTTTTTTAATTACTATATCTATTATTATCTAAATACTAATAAGTTCTATTTTATAAACTACAAATTAATTATTCGGGCTAATATCTATTATAGCCTTTTATTTCTTATAAGACTTCTAGATAATTATATTAATTCGGCCTTAAATATTACTATTATTTATAAAGATTTTCATATAAATATATTACTATAATAAATAAATCTTATTATATTCTCTTATTATAGTTTCTATATCCGGAATAATTCTTATATCTAGTAAAATTTACTAAAATATAGCTATAATTAGTATTTATTTATTTATTTTATTATATATCTCTATTCTAATTACTTTTTATATCTTAATCTCGATTTCCTATAATAATAAGAATTAAATAAAGCTATTATTAATAATACTTCTTATATAAAATAGTTATATTTAATAAAAAAAAACTCTAATTTAATTTATTATAATTATATATATTTAATTAAACTAAACTTTAATAGATAATAGATTAGTCTCTATTTTAATTACTATTATTACTATTAAATAAAAAGTACTTATAATAATATAAAATACTTTTTTTTATAGATTATTAAATACCTAAATTACCTTTTTCTAATAAATCTTTCTTTTATATATTAGATTCGAGATCTATTATATAAAATATATGAAGAATATTTATAATATAATAATTACTTTTACTAATATAAGTATATTTCTTTTTAAGGCTCTCTAGATTAATTCTATTATAAACTATAGAACCTAAATAGATTTTCCTACTTTTTTTCTTATATATTTCATATTATTAAGTTTTAAATCAAGAATAACTCCGAAATATTAGATATATAATTTGAGTATAATTACTTTCTTAATATTATTTATTAGTTCTAGATTTGCTAGCCTTATACTATCTCTAATCCGCTTTTAATTTCTTTTATAAATAAAGTAAATAAATTTATATTTAATAAATATAAATATAAATATATATTTCTTAGTTTATTTATTTACTTTTTAGTATAATATCTCGAGTTTTTAGACTATTAATTTAGTAATTAAGCCTTTTATAAGGAAGCTAGTATTATTAATATAGCCTATAACTAGTTTACTAAATCGGGTAATTTTAAAGAAATTAGTATTATAAAAAAAATAAAAAATAAAAAAAATAAAAAAGTTTTAGGAAATACTTATTAATATACTAAATTCCTTATTTAGGTTCTTAAAAAGCTTAATCCGGGTCTTTTTATTTATTAAATAATATAATAGTAGAATTAAGATAATAGCTAGGGTTTAAAGATTTAAGTATCTCATATATTAAAAAATACTAAGCTATAGAATAAAGTAGAAAGAATACCTTAATCTTTAATATTATTTTGCCCAAGTAATTCCGGCTTAGCTTTATTTTATATCTATTTCTAATATCCTGTCCTTAGTAAATCATATTCTTATATTAGCTATTATATTATTTTCTTTCTAAAGAGAAGTCTAAATACTCTTATTTAGGGAATTATTTAGCTATAATATTAAAAAGAAAAAGAGGAAATAATAGTTATTAATCCTATTTTATCTAATTCCTATAGCTTACTTATAATTAAAATATAGTCTTAACTTTACTAGAATAATCTAGTTTCTAATATATTCTAGCTAGTTTTTAGTATCTATTACTTGTATTATACCTATACCTATATTTATAATATAGTCTAGAAGTATTATATAGGCTATAGCTAATATTAGAACTATTATTATTAGGTAGTCTATAAATAGAAATAGTAGATTAAGTTTATTTATTAATATAGGCTTTAATATAATAGCTTACTTGCCTTTTTTCTTAGTTAGAGTAATAATATTTAGCTTAATTATATTATTTCTAAGCTACTTAATTAATTTCTGGCCTTTTTAAGCTTAATATATATATTCTTAAATTACTTCTCTATTATAGAAACTTATATATTAAGGTTAGCTACTTAAGCTATTTTATTATTAAATTCCCGGGCCTTAAACTATATGATTTTAGTCTTATAAAAGCTTTTAAGAGGTTTTCTGATTTCCTAAATAGTATTATATACTAATTTATTAATATTTATAGGATATTACTTTTTTAATTTAGTTTTTAGGATTATTTACTAGTTCTTGGTTTCAGACTAGTACTTTATATAATAACTACTATTTAGTATTATATATCTTCTAATTATAATAAGTATCTTAATACTAGTTTGGCTACCTTTATTATAATTAGAGTTTCCTTTATTACTAGAAATCTTTCTATTTTTAGTCTTTTTATTATCGGAATTCTTACTATTATCTAATATCTTATATTTCTTAAATAAGCTAGCCTTATTCTTTTTAATCTTTTTAGTATTTGGCTCTATAAGATTAATAAGGAAGCCCTTATTAGTATTATCTATTCCGCCTATTAGATTATTAGACTTATTATTACTAGTAACTAAAATCTCTATTTTATTATTCTT